TTTTCATTACTTTCATCTAAAGCAAAAAAAAAAAATTGTTTTACAAATAAGGGAAAATGTTATATTCGAAAAATTAACAATATAATTTATTTACTCTATTTCCCATTATTGTAAATGCAGGAAGATGAATTTTGTGTAATGTACACAGTCCCAACTGTAAACCACCAGCATCTAATATTTGAGAATATAAAACTTCACGAAATTGTTCTATATGTTTTAAATTTAAAAAAATTTCTGTACTTGCTTCATCACCTTGATTTGTTACAATTCTGAAAAAGTTAATGTACTCGTAAAACAAACATTTTATTATTTTTATACATACTGTACTGCAATATTTTGACTAATTACATCATACTTTTTATAAAATGACTATAAACATTTATAACTTTATAAAAATTACAAACATACATTTTTAATATTTTTATTAAATCTAAAATTGGAAACTTTATTGTAATTGTATCAGTATTTGGTAGTTCTGGTACTTTATATTCCATATGAATTTCATCTGTACTTTTTGGGTGTTCTCTTTCATTAATTGGAGTAAGTAAAAGTGGAACTAGCCATATCAAATCATCTTCTTGAGCAGGTAATGTGATAATCATGCAATCAAACATGCGACTTAATATATTATGAACAGCTCCCATAGCACTTCTTGTACCACGACATAACAAAAGGGGTAACCTTACAGAATTAGCTGTTGTTAATACATTTTTAGTAGTTCTCCAGGATAAAAATATTCCTTCATAAATGCATTTCTTTAAACTATCTTCATTACTACTACGTTTAGCATAAACTTCAATCTGGAATTGTTTTACTTGTTATATGCATATCCATGAGAAATCACAAAATAGATCAATTTTCACATAAAAAATTATGATATTCATTGTTATTTATTAAATTCTTGATTTCTTGTTATTGATATAACCTTTATTGGTGGTGGATCCATTGGACTAGGTCTGTCAACTATACTTTCCATAACAATGAAATTTGTGTTATATGTAACATCTTCTTTTGCTAAACTATTTGCAACTTCTTCCCTTAATCTTTTTGCATACTGTTTTAAATACACTTCCTCTTGATAAAAATTAAATAAAGTAGATACACCAAAAATTGTCCAAGTTTTAAA